CTTTGGAGAAAGATGTCGGAGTCTTAGTGGACAGTAAGTTGTCCACGGGACAGCAATGTGCCCTTGTGGCCAAGAGGGCCAATGGTATCCTGGGGTGCATTAAGAAAAGTGTGTCCAGCAGGTCTAGGGAGGTTCTCCTCCCCCTCTACTCTGCCCTGGTGAGACCACACCTGGAACACTGTGTCCACTTTTGGGCTCCCCAATTCAAGAGAGACAGGGACCTACTGGAGAGAGTCCCAACGGAGAGCTATGAGGATGATTATGGGACTTGAACATCTCTCCTATGCAGAGAGACTGAGAGAACTGGGGCTGTTTAGCCTTGAAAGGAGATAGCTGAGAGGGGATCTTGTTAACATATATAAATATCTGAGGGGTGGGTGTCAAGAGGAAGGGGACAATCTCTTTTCAGTGGTGCTCAGTGATAGAACAAGAAGTAATGGGTTTAAGTGAGAACATAGGAACTTCCACCTCAACACAAGGAGAAACTTCTTTACTATGAAGATGACAGAGCACTGGAATAGGCTGCCCAGAGAGGTTGTGAAGTCTCTTTCTCTGGAGACTTTCAAAACCCACCTGTCTATGTTCCTGTGTGGCTGCCCTAGAGGATTCTGCTCTGGCAAGGAGGTTGGACTAGAAGATCTCTAGATGTTCCTTCCTTCCAACCGCTAACATTCTATGATTCCGCATAGCTGACCATCTATTTTCTAAGCCTTCAGAACCAAGGATCTGTATGAGCACTGTCACATTTTTGTGTGTGCTTCTGCAAAACTCCCTTCTAAGAATTTAACACTTGAACTGTTAAAAGACCCAAACTTGTAGTGACAGAACAAATGGGCACAGGAGGAATGCAGGCATGCAAATACTCAGGTTAGATCAAGTTAGATATTCATCACTGTACTTCACAAGGGTCTTAATCTCTTAATTACACAACAGTAGTTATTATGACTTCTCATAAACACAGAGTATCTTAATTCACTTGACTCCTATTTATATACTTTTAAAATCAGATTATCACAGGTAAGTGGCTGGAGGGAGCAATGCACTGATACCATCCAGATACTGAATAATGGAACTTACAATGCTTAATGAAGAATTAAAGTTTAAATAACAATTATGACAGTTTTGACAACTAGAATTAAACATTCAAACCAAGAAACAATTATGACTATAATTATTAGAGCAGTTACCCAAAAACCTACTAGAACAACTACCTACAGGATCATGATAAGCTGGTTAAATACAAAAGCTTTTCTTCTAAGTAACACAAAACTTGCTTTCCAACTTGCAGTTACTATGTAAAACTACAGTTTTACTACGTAAAGCTATAGTAAAGCCTTCAGCTGTTTTGGTTAAGGAGCCACCAAAACTCCCATAACAGCCCCCTGAAGCAAAAAACTATCACCAAGTTTAAATGGTTCAGCTACAGGTCTGAGGTACTGTTTTCAATAAAACGAGTTAGCTGTCACGAGACAGTACAGTGATACACCAAACAACAGGAGGTGCCTTTTATTCTACAAAAGGATAGTAAGGATTCTTATGGCAACAGACTAAAATCAACAGACTAAATTCAAGCTAAACTCCAAATTCCTATTACTGCATTTCACTGAATTCAAAATGCTTTCTCAGTGAAGCTGGTATTTTAACATAGACACTCTCTTCAATGACATAAACTAAAATACCTAATTAAATATTTCCAAGTTACAATATACAAGAACATACCTATCTAAACTAGGTAGTCAGAATACGCAACATTCAACTGCATCTAGTACTGGAACTTAAAACATCAATTTCATGTACCATCAGCTTTCTCTGGTGAGAAGAAACTATAGGGTAGAATGTGAACAGATTTCACAGCAGGACTTCTAGACGCCCTCCTTGATCAACATCCATATTATACTACAACAAAAATGAGACTACTACAAACTGATATAATTCATCATTTTAGTATCTGTCTTCTACAGCTGAAAAATTCCTATAAAACAGTTCTTCCTTCATCCAAATGCACGTCAGTGTTCAAATTAGAATCCAGGACGATTCCAATCTTATTGTCAGTCACTGCCCTTTCACAGGCCATGGTTTCCCAATGTGTGCACTTCAACATACAAGCAGGCATAAAATACATGTAATATAGCTATTTTAACAACAAAGTCAAATGGCATTTTGAAAGATAAAAGCCTTGATTAAATGGTACATCAAAATGACATCATTAGCAGTACCTTACAAATTATTTAATACAGGGACTACTTACAATCAACAAGCACACATAAAAGCAGCAAAAACCCTACATCACAGGAATGTTGTGATTATTTAGTGAAGTGAATAACTTTGGTATTGAGTCTGTAGAAGAAACTGTAAGTAAAGGGAATGTGTATTAACTACCAAAAGCATAATTTAGTGAGGCCACCAGGAAAATAAGCTTTGCTAAGTATGTCAGAAGCTCACCCAAGAAGCCTAACACAATTCTAGCTCATTGATTTGAAAAAAGTCAGACAATACTTATCATGAACTGTATCAAAAGTTTCTGAAACTATTAAACTCTTAGCAACACAAGGTGGAGGTGATGTTCATTCTTTTTAAACTTCCTGAATTAGTAGCATTTGGGTGACGATATTTCTCAAATTTCTTCCATCAGTTCAGGGGAGACACACAGGACAGAGCACGTCCATGTAGAGACCATAAAAATGCCACCACCTTACCGGCAGACTGAGCACTGTAAAGGGAAGGATCGACTAGAGGAATATTCTGAGGAGCAGGCTGAATGGTGTTACTTGTCACTCCTGCAAATAAATGCAAAAAAAAATGGACTTGGGTTATTTTTATTAATCACAGGATGTTAGGGGTTGGAAGGGACCTCAAAAGATCATCTAGTGCAACCCTCCTGCCAGAGCAGGATCACCTACAGTAGGTCACACAGGAACATGTCCAGGTGGGTTTTGAATGTCTCCAGAGAAGGAGAATCCACAACCTCCCTGGGCAGCCTGTGCCAGTGCTCTGTCACCCTCACAGCGAAAAAGTTTTTCCTAATGCTTTTGTGGAACCTCCTGTGTTTCAGCTTGTACCTATTGTCCCTTGTCCTGTCACTGGACACCACTGAGAAGAGCCTGGCTCCGTCCTCCTGACACTCCCCTTTGACATATTTATAAACATTTATGAGGTCACCCCTCAGCCTCCTCTGAGGCTCCTCCTTCAGCCTTTCCTCATAAGGCAGATGTTCCACTCCCTTCATCATCTTTGTGGCTCTGCACTGGACTCTCTCAAGCAGTTCCCTGTCTCTCTTGAGCTGAGGGGCCCAGAACTGGACACAATATTCCAGATGTGGCCTCACCAGGGCAGAGTAGAGGGGCAGAAGGACCTCTCTCGACCTACTAGCTACTCCCCTTCTAATACACCCCAGGATGCCATTGGCCTTCTTGGCCATGATGGCACAGTGCTGGCTCACAGGCATCCTGCTGTAATATTAAATCCCTCACTTCAGACTATGAATACTTTAAACAGTACAGAAGAATTTACAGGCTGTTGTTCATTTTATCAGAATGCTATTTCACAGAAATTGAATTTCAAGTATTAAAAGAAAATATCAGTCCAAAAGACACTGGTTATCTTACAGTATTAAGGAAAACCTGCTAAAGAAGAGTAGGACTGAACTTTTATATTTGTAGTCCAAATTCTGCCTTTAATATCAGAAAGAATCTCCATTTTTGTATTTTTAACACCCCATGCCTGCCATCTCACACTTGCAAACTATCTCTTAAGTCCTTCAAATCAATTGGTGAGAATTTAAAAAGCTACCTGGATTTAAAAGGGAAACGACGATGCTAAAAGAAGAAACAGCACTTTACACTGTGAAGCATTCTTGCATCAGTGCTCACATTTTAGATGCCTTCATTTCATTTGATCCAAAACTGTATTTTTTCCAGGGTGCCCGGAACGTATCAGACTAACAGCAAGCTATTTCTACAACATCTGCTCTGTAGGAAGATGGCATAATCGCTTTTCTAAATTATGTGCTATTTCATGGAATGACTGATGGAGTTAAAACGATGTAATGAAAAAAAAAGAACTCATGTATTCCAACAAGGCTCACATTCCATAATTTTCAGATCTAGTAAAAACAAAGAGCTAAACATTTACCTAGGCTGAATATAAAAAACAACTCTCTTCCCCTCCCAGGCCCAAAAAACCCCACCTATCTGAAGGATTTCCCTTTGATAAAGCTGAAAAAAAGAGCATCCTGAATTTTTCATAGGGTAAAGCATTTTTAAAATGACAAAATAAAAGAAAAGGAGGGGCCATGTGACAAAAACATCTCATGTTCTACAAAAATGCATCTGTACAATGAAATTATTACTAGCACTGACATTAGGAGCTTTAAATTTTTTAGTCTTATTAAGCATTATAAAAAAGGTAACATGCAGTGAAAAAGTTGTGTGCACAAATCATTTAATACTTTTTTAAAAAAAAACAAACTGGGAAGAACTTTGGATTCTTAAGAACTTGGTTTTGGTCCAAAAATGACACAGAATAAGGATGTAGGAGTCAATATGTTTAGCAGTAGGAACAAAATTTCCATTAATAATAGTTTTTGAGGTCAATCACACTGAAGTAATTGCATGCAGAAAAGGAGCATAAACCAAACAGAAAAAGTATGAATGGTACACCAGGCATAATTGTTACAGTGTTGCACTGGTTTCAACAGTATGTTGGATATGTTCCCCACATAAAGAACAGCTGTCTATCTGTACAGAGAAATCCAAAGAGGGAAGTCATACAATTTCACCAAACGAAAGATTTAAATAGTGCTTTACAGTATATATATTGTAAGACATGATTCTAGAGAAGAAAAATCTCATTCTGTATGCAGGAACATTCTCTCTTTCAGTCCATATATATTCTGGCAAAGCACTCCAAAATATGAATTATGTGTTTAAAAAACCCCAAAAAATACTTCTCATGGCACTTTTACAATACTAATTTATGAAGCTGCTTCTGACATGGAATACAAAAATTATTTTACTTTATACGTAATGTAAAGAGGGCTAGGATTCATCTCTCAAAGGCATGAATTTTTTGGACGCGATTCAGACATACCTGTGTTATGAGGTACTTCAGCTGGAGTGTTGGCTGGTGCATGGGCACCTGGTGGTATATGAATGCCAGTGTAATTACTAGTTGGTATATTGTTAGCTTCATACGTAGATGATGATGCTGATGCTGGTTGAGTTGTTCCACTATGGAGAGAAGATGATCCTGCTTCTTCCCTTTCAACATCTGCTATGATGACATAAAACAGGAATTACTGCAACTCTTCCACACAAACACTTGAAAACTTAGGCTTTCTTTAAAAATCTCCTTTCAAATTTTTGTTAGTAGAAACACTACAGTGTGAAATAAAATATTTATCAATTCAAACCACCTATGGTTGATATCACAAAGTAAAAAGGCAACATACCATAGGACAATAACCTAGAAACTCACATACTTTCAAAGATCCATTTAAACTGAAGGACTATCTCATCACTGGTCTGAATAGAAGCAATCTGTCTCATTAGGACAATCCCTTATAACTCCATGTACTGCATCTACACTAGTTGAACAAGATGCAACAAATATGCAGTAATCTGTACTTTTTCATATATATATATATATATATGAACCAGAATAACAGAAAATTCTATCTGCATGACAAACTCTTCTCAAAAAGATAGGCAACCCTTCCACCACATATCAAAGAAATGACAAATAACAAAAAGAGAGGAACTTTGGAAAAGTAATATAAACAAGAAAATGAAATGCATCTTAGCTGAGTCATAGCTGTATCTAGAACAGCTCGACTATATAATGCACTATAAGAATAATGAAGTTCAATATATCCTACAGCATGTATAAAGAACACATTTTTCAATCTAGTCATATTCTAGGTTCTGGTCTAGTTTCTTTAATGCTACTTTGAAGACTAAAGGTCTAATTTTATTATACTAGTAACCCAATTTCTTTAGAATATAGCTGATTTCTGCTTCTTAATTTTAACTCAGTTCAATTAAAAACCCCCTGATTTTCTCTTATTGTGTATTTGTTCTTCTGTATCAATCAGGTCAGGTGGAACAAGATGTTCTGGGGATACATTTTTTAACAGCCAGTTCTTGAAAGGGAGCAAAACAAATACAGGAGCACAAAACTTGCATGTATCTAGAACTGGCAAAAGAGACGTTCTTTATGAAATCCAACACTGATCATCAACTATACAAGATCATTTGTTATGCAAACACCTTTGCTGCTTAATAATTATTAATCTACTATTACAAACATTACTATTGCAAATATCAGTATTTTTTCCCATGTAAGGTCTTCTTCCTCACATAAAAACTTCAGGTACTACTTTTGCAAAAAAAACGACTAGACTAACCATCATCGAATGGGAGGTTGTTCTCTAAGGTCCCTTCCAACCTAGGCCACTCTATGATCAACTCACAATACTACAATAAAAGGCTATAACACGAGTAAAATCACAGTACCGTCAGCAGGACCTTTTTACTGTACTTTAATAAATACACAGTTAAAGAATATTTTTTTGGTTTATATTGCATTTCTAGTTGTTGATTTTCATTCAAGACATCCAAGTACTAACAAAATCACAAACCCCAAATCCACAGTCTAATACCAAGAATCTTTATTTAAAAGTAATAAAAAGCAAAGAAACCTAGAAGTAAAGTTTTGTCAGGTGTGTCAAGCACTGCTATGAAAATGTAATATAGAAAAAATTTACCGTGTTCAATGTTTTTATCTTACTCTTGTGAAAATTACTTTTACTTGCTGCAACCACTAACTTAGGTTGTGATTTTATGAAGTTATTTCTGACGTATGCAAACAAACATCTGGCAGATTTCTGGAAGGCATAGGATATATAAGGTGCCAGAATTTTCCTTTGCTGTATTTTTTTTGCTAGTAAAACACTGCAATATCAGGTGGCTAATATATATAGAAATAAAAATTAAATGTGTTAAAAATGACCAAAAAAAAGGTGAGATTCAAAAGTAAACACTCTATATGCTTCCTTTTAAATAATAATGTAATGACAGGGAAAACGCATTGTTTGAATGCTGTATTTTTCACTGTTTTTTTTGTGTTTACAAAAAAAAATTAAAGTTTCAGAAAATAAAATGTAATAAATTCCCAGAGATTAATGAAATAGTTACCTACCACACTCATCATGCTGTCTGAAGGTAAGGCTGCCCAAGTTTACTTGTGATAGATACTGTTATCAATTATTTATAGTTTGGTCAAATTGTAGCTCTAAAGTTGGATTTTCCATGTTGGGTGTCTGCCTGAAGCTAACATTTGGGAAAGCTGCTGCAAAAATTAAGTCACTTGTGAGAATGAGGGGGTGAATAAAACATACTTTGATTAATACTTTGTATCTCAACTAAGAGAAGCCACCTGTAAATTCTCACCCAGATTTGAACTGTTAAATGCATTTATTCCTTTATTCTGCTTCCTGCAGCCCTTATCTGGCTTTCAATCCCATTCCAATTTCTCTGCACCAGGACTTCATATTCCCTATCTGCAACCCCTTGCCCCACACTTAAGTCTTGCACTACCTCCCAACCTTCACTCCAACACTTTCCCAGTTTCAAAACTCCTCAAGGCAGACTTCATGGCCTCTAGTCACTCCGGTAGAGTGCAGTGCCATAGGCAATGCTGGCCATGGAAGATACAAACAGTTAAGGTCTTGCAATGTTATAAACAAAAACAACAAAAAAGTGTTAGAAGTGCTGACCACCTTTAAGAACAGTGCCTGTAAGAGGCAAATTCACAAAAAGGCAATATACTTTTTAATCAGATATATGTGTCAAAAGATCAAGCTCAGCTGTTTGATTTGCCCATTACGCAACTGGCAAACATTAAACAGTACTAAACATAAAAGGAGCTTTGCTGAAATTAACTACTCTTAGGTGTTTCAAGTGCACAAATGCCATGAAAGCATTGTAACTATTCTTTCTGCAAAGTAAATATTTAAAATATTCTTTATCAAATATTAAAGTATTAGAATGAGATATGTGTTTGCAGTATTTGTGAAGAGTTTTAACAGTAGTGCTAAATAGAAGGATCTCAGGCTGCTGGAAAAGAACATTTAAGTCAACAAACTGTTTTAAGTTCTGTGGTTAGAACTTCCATAAGATTATTGAAAAATAAATCTTTTCCAGTCAATGGGAATGAATGCTAGAAAAAACCAGAGAATTTCTATAAAGCTGCAACAACCAAGAATTTAAAGATCCTTGCAATTTGCTTAAGGATGCTGAAATACTAGGCTGTGAAACAGTGACACAATTGTTTCACATTCAGTTTCAGCTTCAGCTGACTTTCTTGTCTTGGAACCTCATTAGCCTTTGTGTTTGGATCCCAGCATAATGAATCCACATGCTCTCTAGATTTTCCTCAGAGCTAGAGTATAGCCAGACTATCTGTTTAAAATATTGTTTACTTATTGAAGGCAAGACTTTGTGGAACAAGGCTGATAACCCTGGCTCCATAACCAACTGTCGAAACAAATATAAATGAGGATTCTCAAGGCTTATTAACGGCATTCCCATGTCTAGTGTAAGGAAGCATGGAATATGACTTAAGCAGCTCAGAGCACTAAATTTAAAACTAGCAAAATTTTTATTTTTAAGAAGTCCAGACTTCTCCAATTCTCTGGACTCCTATTTCTAAAGGAGTCCAGAGAATTAAAAAGGTAATCTATCAATTCTAATTTTAAAACATTTTCTTTTTCTCATTCTGCTGCGCTGTTTCTCTTTAGCTTGAGGTGCTGCTAAAAGATGCACAATGTAAGATTCTATTGGAACACTGCTTTTTAAAAATGTATATATACATATATGTATATTTTTCCCACCACATTGAGAAATGGACTCAAAAAATCCATCAACTTTTCACATGCTGTTCTTTCTGCTAGTTGGGACTATAAAGGTTTCTTGGAATTATGAAACAAATGCAGAATACACATGTATTGCAGTGAAAGTGATGCATTTTACTATGGCTATACCATGACTATCTAGGAACTTTTTTATACTTGAAATTACTTTTTTTTTTTTTCCATTAGTATAAAATCTTGTTGGATGGCCTAGAGGCAGTGCTAAGTGACCTCTATGTGTACTCTACGATTTTAACCACATTAAGAAATCAAGCATGTCATTTTAAGGTTTCCATGGTGGGATCCTGACAAAAGCATCCATAAATCCAACAGCAGAACTGCATAAAGCACGCCTCTGTTACTGTAAAAACATCTCCAAGAGTTACAGTATGGTTTTCAAGAATCACAAAGAAAATAACACTTGGGGAAAAAAATGGTAATTTGTCAAGCTACAGAGAGACCTAGTTTCACTCTGTTTAAACAGACTTTTTCCACTTGCAAGGGAAGGAAGAAAATGAGCAAGTAGAAAGGAATGGGGAAGGTCCAGTCGTATATCAGACAATGCTGCTTTTCTTCTTATGATGCACAAAGCAAGAATTGATACTTTCTAAACTGATTCTTCTAATAAAAAATAATTTGCATACATTTTTGGTCTTGGCTGTATAAAGCATTATGAACATCTACACTATAGAGTTAATTTCAAAAAAATGTCATAAAGTGTTTTGCATTTCATTGCTCAGATAAGAATGTGAGAAATTTTCTTACTACATGAAGTACATTTCAAGAAATAAGATATTACCGAATTATAGATTTTGCAGGCTCCCTACCAATAACGATGGTAAAATTTTGGTCCACTCAGCATTTGCAGCACATTTAAGTAGAGATAACTTAGTAATAAAAGCAGCAGTCTTCAATTCACACTACTGCTTGTAAAGACCTGCAATGAATAGTAAGGATTTGAGTAAATTCTACTCTCTCTCCTACAAGTTTCTTTTGCAGCCTTAAGTACATGATTTACCTTTGTGTCCACATTAATAATATGAAGAAAGAGTCTGTTTGTTGCTCCCAAGAAACAATTATTTCTTCCTATACAAGTTGCATACACAGATTTTTAGCAAAAGCTCTGTAATCTTTGCTTAGAAATTCTATTTTTGTAGATTTTTAGAATTTGTAATTCACTTCACATAACCAGGTAAGCTTTGTAGACACTACCACACTACAAGTCAGCCAACTCACTAAAAAGCACTCATTTAAAGTTAGAAATATTTAACTTGGCTATTCATTACACCTACTATAACAAAACATTTTCCCCACAGTCTTCTCCATGTTTGCAGCTGGTGTTGAATCAGTGTCTCTTGCTACAGCTACACTAGCAGTTAAGAAAACTGTCTTGAAAAAGATTGTATGTTGATGAAGAAATTAGTTTGCTAATGTTTTACTTCCAAGATAGCTGTAACTAGATTGGAAAATATTTCAGTGGGTAAGATAGCCATTCTGGTGTTTAAGCCTGTAAGGCATCTTTAGGTAAGGAAAACATAATAACAAAAATAAATCAGGAGCGTGGAAGCCACTACTTGTTCACAAATATTTGTATTTACTTATATTGCTGTGTTTCTAAAGTATTAATATGCAAACAGTATTTTATTCAGGAAACTGCAAAGAAATTATAACTGGCACCCAGGCTTTTAGACACTTAGTTCACTTTTAACAAAGTAAAGGCTAACAATAAATAGAGATAGATGTTTGGCACACTTCCTTATTAGAATAATTGTAACCATGTATTCTACAATTTTTCTTTTTAATGTAATGTTGGCTAGGACATTAAATGATATAATTACACTGTGCAGAGTCACTTTTCAGAGTTTTCTGTCTAAATTTGAACCTCAGAAGCATTCTTATATGGCCTCTTTCTATCAATTGATTCTCTTTTCCATATACAACTGATTTTTTCAAGAATCATAAAAAGGATGAAGGTTCCTTCGCAGGTTATCTGGTTCAATTCCTCACTCCTGCCAGTGCTACCACAGATCATGCTGCTGTGGGCACAGAATGGCTCAGGCTGGAAGGGATTATCTTGAGACTAATTCAACCCCCTGTTCAAGCAGGGTGAGCTTGAGCTAGTTGCCCAGGACTATATCCAGTCAGGTTTTGAGTATTTCCAATGATGGATATTCGATCACTTGTCCAGAAATCTCTTTCCAGTATCTGACCACATTCATGACAAAAACTATTTTCTAAATAATTCATGTATTCCCTGGGGCAACCTGTGTCCACTGCCTGCTGTCTTATTGCTATGTACGTCCAAGAAGTCTGGCTTAGATCTTCTCTACACTCTCCCATTAGGTATGGTTTAAGACACTAAGAACTCTCCTTTAGGCCCACTTAACTTCACCTTGTATGCCGTGTTCTCCAGTTCACATTTGGAAGACAACAGAAAGCTCTCGTACCTCAGGCGATGAGCTACTTACCAGCAAAGGTGGACTTGGAAGGAGTAAAACTGCCTATTTTCTACTTCCTTATACTTTGCTCACTGAGCAGATCGTTTTTATTTTACTTTGTTACTTTTTATCTCCCGCTACACATTTGTCTTCTACTAAAAAAATCAGCTAGTGACTGGCAAGCAGAACAGGATGCTGTACCTTACTGGCAGGACCATCAGTTTTATCTTTATATAAATAGCAGGTCATGCTCATTCTCCTCTTCCTTCATGGATAACCAGGAAAGAAGCTTCAAAATATGAGATTGCATGATGAGAGATTGAGAATCAGAAGAGAAACACCCACCAAAGCTCTCTCCTTCCATTCCAATAGGCCCAGGCTGAGGAGTCTCTCCATTCTTCAAGCAGTTATGAATGTACGCTGCCTTCCACCTGGCATACTTCCTGTGCTGGGCATTCTGGGGAAGGGAAAAGGCCAATCACTTTAACCACTCATGTCTGCGAATTAATGCATCCGAAACAGAAATAAGCAGGTTTTCTAACCTGAGAAAAGATTATAAAACTAAGCTGCCTGAAGTTACTGAGGAAAAGCATTTCATCTGGGTTTTCATAATTTCTTCTTTTCAAAAAACATATGCAACTGAAGTGTCAGAATCTCAATTTTTTTTTTTTACATTTTGTTTTTTAAAATATACGTTACTGTTCTTAGGTACAACTTCAATATGTCAAAACATGAAATGAAGACTGGACACTTTTTATCTCCTGGGAGTGCTACAACAGTGGTTTTTTTAATATAGAAAGAGTTCTCAATTGTTACACAAAATCGCAAACTGATCAAGCAAATCAACTACTCTGTCAAAAGTAGTACGACAAATAACCACTTCTGAAAGTTATGAGTTAATATATTTCAAGGAACAAGGATGAATATAAACAAAGATGAGAACTGTGGAAGGGTAAGTGGAATAATTTGGCCAAGTGAACAATTCAGGTTGATAGTGTGTTTCACATCAACATTATCAACTGTAAGGTATTGTTGAACTCAAATTTCCACAGTAATAATCATAGGAAAAGTGGTTTGGAAACTGAGGTAGACAGAAGTCTCTTTAAAAGTTCTGCCTAAAATTACATCCGAATTTTTGGAGAATTAATAAAATCAAATTCAAACCTGAAGCTCACAGTCTACTGCACTCTCATCTAGAGTAGGGTGAAGAGTGACAGTATAGTGGAAATCTCCAACAAGCTCCGCTCCCTTGTTATCCATCAGGATGCTTATGCAGACCAAGAGAAAAATATGGTCTTCATTTCCACAAATAAAATATTATCCAGAAAAAAATTCTCTCTCCGATATCACAGAATAATTCTTCTGTGTGACATGAATAACAGAGAGCAGCTAGTCATGTAGCTACTAGGAAAGTTTGTTTTCAAACAGACGAAGATCTTATTTTGGTGTGCCATAATTAATCATGATTTTGTTCAGCCTATTCTGCAATACTTTTTGGTTAAAAGATTACCTGCCACAGAGAGCACCGTCTACATTAGAAGATAATTTTTTCAGTTAAACATTCATGTCCCAATGGCCAGAGCACAAGCTTGGTTCTTCTTGAATTTAACATACCACCTTTTAGAAGTGAGGTTTGTTGCAAAGCCAGAAATACCTATTCTTAATTTGCTTGCAGTGTAAAAAAAGTGAGAGTGAACCTTTCATTATTTTTCCCTATAATAATTTCTACTTGCTCAATGTAATACAATGTGTCCCACAGTAATAATCAGACTCTGGACTTCTGATATTGTCACGAAGCATCTTCTAGCAGACAACAGCTTCTAGCAGATAACACATATAACTTGAAATACTTAGCACAGTTCCTTGTGACCTACTAATGTGTATTTAACTACACAATTAGAACCTATGTTCTCTGAAGTTCATATTCACAAATTATAAAAACTTTGCAGAACTAACTCTAATTTGCACTTGTGCTAGAAAAAGCAATCAGATAATACACTGATATCCTTAACACTTACCTCTTCAGAGAGTTCCCCAAATACTGTTAGAACATCTATCAGGAGACTTGCAGTATAAAAGGACTTTATCATGTTTCTGTAAAAAAGAAAACATTTCACTAACTTGGTAATGTCAGTCTCTCAGAATCATATTTTAGAAGTTGGCATTTTGGATCATACTGGCTTCTTTCAAGCTGCTCAGCACTAATTTTTTTTTCAAAATCTGATACTATAGAACTTAATTCACAATATTTGAATTCAGCAGCGTATTGACTCTTCTCCTAACTAGTATGTAGAAAATTTTCAGTATTTTTAAAAACTGGTCACGTGTTCTGCACTTTGGAATGTTCAATATAGGACACTCCTGTATTATTTCAGAAAAAGCCATCAATGTCCTGTAGTAATCACTTTAAAGTAAACCACACAATGTATCATTACAACTATCCATCACTGGACAGTAGAAACTACAACATGCTTGATGACAAGCTCAGTATTAGCCTATGGTTTTAGAATGCTTGCCAGTAGGTGAGCAACCTCTTGAAGAACACAAAAAGAAGGACACCACTTCATGTGTGACATTAGACAAACTAGTACTAACAAATCCGGTTTTCTGAAAGAGAAATTAATGCATCAAAGCCATATTTTTGTTTCAGTCAAATTAAAAATAGTTTGGATATGTTCAAAGTTCCTGATCAGTACCTTAATTCAGATAACAAACCCAAATATTTTCACATACTTATGAAATTGCCCAGCTCTGTCTTCGTTGTCTGCATACAAAAACATTTTCAAAGCATAATTCTCCACATGAGCAGAACCAACAATTTCCTGAGTAATTGCTTCATTATCACCAAATTGCTTTTTCATCTGAAAAAAGTTGAAAAAATACATTACCTTATTAGACTCTAGTAATTCTGATATTTAATTCAAGCACAAGAAGCAGCTGCTGATTTAACCAAAGCCAAGTACAATTTAAAAAAGAAATAACATACATTTTGATTATTTTACAGATCTCTAGCTTCTAAAATTACAAATGCTAAAAGCAGCATGCTGAAGAGAAAGTACCTTCTCTGGAGGGAGAAATATTATGCATAAGTAGCTCTCTGAATACCATGTTCAATCACAAAATACTTAAAAAATCCAAAACAAACAACCCACCCAAACATTAAAAATAAACACATTTACAATACTATGAAGGAGTAGCTACAGATATTTTCCAAGACCAAGCACTCTGAAGTCTGTGTCAGGATGCAACAGTGTTCAACTGATAAAGTAATGCATGCTTTATAAAGGTACTGTAGGTCAGTGATCATTTATCTTCTCTCCTGTGACTTCCCTGCAGTTCATCACGTCTTTCAAAATGTCTGAGCTCTACCTTGACCTAGTGACCTACAGATTTACTGGAATTTTCAGTATAAGCATTGTACCGCAATTCAAAGACCTCTTTTCAAAGATGTTAAAGTACAAGAATTCTCAGATTTCCTAATAAAAATCAGTAAAGCAAATAACCCTCCGACAGTTACAACAGGTGGATTTACAGCTTCTGAATAGGCTTACTGTTTGCACATAAGGAAATCTCAGGTTATCCTTAGAGAACAAAAACACGAACACTGCACGATACTAACCTGCAGCCTTTATGTTGCCAAAAGATTTAAAAACAGACTCTGGCAGTTATTTTTCACTGTGCATGTGAAGAAAATTTAATCATGCAGGCTGCATTTCCATATTTTTTAGACTGCTGCCAACTTTTTAATACAGAGAACGTTGTCAGAAAAGTTACTTGATTTCGGTACTGAAATATAAACTTTCCAAATAAAAGTTTAAATCTGAAGACTTTTGTCAAACTCCTACTCTGTATATGGTTTCCAAAGTGCAATTGTTTTGCTTGTGATTGTACCAAAGTTTGTAAGTTGCAACATATATAGCTGAAATGAAACACTGAAGCTGAGGAAGAAAATGATTTGTTTATAAATATTTCACTATCCTATACATACACCTTACACACAGAAAAAAACTTACTAATACACATGATCTGTTCAACAGAGATTATTTCAAAGACACAAATGACCCTCACTTACACATACTTCTAAAGACATTGTTGTTTACTTTTGAAATTACCCTTCACATAATCTGTGATTCAGTACAGAAGTACTGAGGTTTTAAATGATGAACCAAAATTTGTACCTAAAAATCAAGGAAATTTGGTTCAATTTTACTAATGACATTTAAATGAAACAGTTACCTACTGGAAAAGCATATGTAAAAATACAGTGATAAAAATCACTGTACTTAGTTTACGTATCTGGAATATCATGCAAAGTTTCTTGCAAAGATTACATCTGGTTGTTTTCAGATATATCTACACTGTTTTATTCTTTGCTTCTATAAAGTTCAGCACTCTTCATAAGCTTTGATCTTAACCTCTAAACCAACAAGTGGTCACAGGCAGACTGAAAATAGCTGTGATGAACTGACCACAGAGGTACAACACGTCACTATATTTATTGCAAAGTTCCTAGACCCCAAAATGCTGTATTAGACCTGCTTAGCGCTCTCTCCATCCTTCCATCACTTGGCTACGTAGAAGAAACTTCAATACCTATGCATCAGTTGTCACACAGACAATCTTAATAGCAACTGAAAGATAAAGTCATGAGGTTTTGCTGGTTTTTTATTCACTGCAAATTTGAAAGAAAAGGGATAACTGAACACTGCAGACAGATTAGTTGCTGCAGTACCATAAGGTATCCAACAAATTTTAACAATCCCAAGGAAATGAAGAGTTAAATCTTTCAGTGTTTTTATCACTTCTCTCCTGCCACCTCTCTTCCCTTTTGAAGATAAAAATGAGACCCATTAAAGGTGACAAAATTTCATGAAATAACACATCAAGAAGTCACTGTATACTGGATTTTCCATTGCTAAAAATCAGAGATAAAACCTAGCATGAAGCATAAGGTATGAAAAGATGATAAAAAGTTCATGTTTCATTTTTTTCTGAAGAACTGAAGGCTGTTGCACAAGTTTCACACGAACTTCAGGCACTGACTGCTATGGCTAGATTTTGGATGGGATCATTAATATTGAACACAAAGAGAACCACTGTTTCATTTTTCAACATTACTTTCTGCTTCCAAACGAGTACTTAAACTCTACATACTACTTCCTTTGAGACTATTGAAAAATACAGCATATGAACATAAACAGCTCCTGGAACTTAAACTGGCCATCTATACAATGACTTTACCTTTATTTAACTCTGTTCTATTTAAGTTTTTTTGCTTTTTTAATACTATCAGGTCCATCTATTCAAAAGAGCGTGGCATAGCTCTTACCCACACAGATAAGACTGCTTACAATAATTCATAGTATAAGAATCCCTCGTCTTTAACAGAGGACAGAATCAAAAGTATCTTCTAACATTTTAAAAAACTACCTGGGTACAACAGCTTAGGTTGAAAACATCAAAAGCACCCAAGGACTAGGCTAGCAAGTCCTGCAGCAGTGAAAATAACTAATAGACTTCAAGGAATCAAAGATAAATAAAAATAATATTCTAGTACTCTTGTATTTATTTTGTAATGAATTGCGGTTTCTCATAAGAATATTTATGAATAAAGTATCATAATTCATGCTGTCTAAACAAAATCTTAAGGCAGATGTCTGCTGTATAAGATTTCAGTTATGTTTGTGCATGTATACATATATATAAACATATACATACATATAGCTGTATTTCCTTTCAATCCTTCTGCCAATTTATTACATACAATTTAAATTCACATAGTATGCCTGCATACAGAATAGTTGTATCAGTGACTGATGACAGAGAAAATAGAGAATTTCCAGAAGCTTAAATAAAAATTTAAGCAATACCATGAATCCTTTTAGAAGAGAGCAATAAGTTCTACTTACAGCTTCTAACTGATCCATAAGTTTGGATAAAAATTTACGGCATTCTGGGGTCTTACTATCAATCTTCATCCCTGTTTGCATTGCATACAAACGACCTTTAAGGGAGACAAAACACATATAAAAAAAGTAGTGATTATCCAAGGCAAAACCCATGAGGAAGAAGAGCAATGCCCCTCCTGCCCCAACACATCCTAAAGATAAACTCGTCTTTTAACAAAGTACTACGGCAGTACTAGTGAGCAATGACAGTGAAATTTAGATATGTTCAGTCTGGCACAGATACTAGGAGATATTGTTCCAAGATCTACGCTTTACTTTATTCAGTGAGTATTCCTGCCAATTTCAGACTGATACTTGTATCATTACTATACAGTACTAAGTGCTCTTGTAAGTAATCACCACCCTTGTATGAAGCTCTCTCAAAGAGGAACGTGAAGTCGATTTTTATTCCCTCATTATACAGGAAAAATTTTCATATGATTCGCATATATGTGTAGACCATGTGGATATATGTCAAGAATTTAACCCCATGTAGCAAGAACCAGTTAGCTTTAAAACTGCACTTTAACAAAACCAATTAAGCATCTATTATCTCCATAGTAACGAAAGACACAAGACACAAATCTGATCTTTAAATCAGATCGGACAGACTTTACTAAACTTCCCCTGCAAGTAAAGTTGCCAGTTTTTCACATAATCTTGAAAACAAATGATTAACATCTTTGATTAAATTTTTACTACCAAAGAGCTATGAATTTTAGACATGTGCATGGCAAAACTTTTGATGCTACAGGAAATTGTGGGTAAAATCAAACAACTATTATTTACTAGAATTAACAGAGACTGAAAAGGGAAAACGGTCAGAAACATTCAGTAACTAAACACAGAACATTTTTCACAAAATAAGTCTTCTACTAACTCTCACTCCTGACCCCCATGGAGTCCTATAAAACACTTTCAAATGGAGAGCTTAAGAACCAAAAGCCAACTCTCTCAAATACTACAGTGAGCTAGTTATTACAGCAAAGTCCAATGTCCTTTCTCCTGCAGGACTGAGATCTGCAGGTGGTCCTTTCTTGCTTCACAGCTTTACCATCCCTCTCCTTCCAAATATCTCTTCATACACTAAAGATAGCCTTTTCCCTTCAAGGTATCTCAGGAAACACCAATATAATGCAGTTGTTTTCAGACTGCACTTATCCCGATGTTTTTTGCAGAAGCAAGCATTATATGCTCAAAAACCTTGTCTGCCTTTTTCATCTACTATCAGTTTGCCTGATAAAATCATATCTCTCCCCAGAAAATCTACCTAGACTCTGCAGGTGAGCATCAACATTTAACTGGTTTTTTCAGGATTTAAAAAGTAGTATTTCATGTTTCAAATATAATAATTCTATGATACAATGATTAATCCTTACAGTCTTCAATTAAACTGATTTTTAAGTACTTGAAGTTTTTAAGTACTTGAAGTTTTGCTGAACACACTTCAGGGTATGACTTGATAATACAAAACTTATGAATTAACATAATATATGCTAGACCTATGGGCCATCCAGGCCACTTAATTCTTTTTGACAGATACAAATATCAGATATTTCCAGAGGAGAGTAAATTAATTTTAGACTGATGAGTTAGGGTGACATAAATTTGAAATACCCTTTGTCATAATTGCATATAAATTATGTTAATTGCTAAAAAGAACCTCATTATCTCTACCATAATTCATATATGTGGCTTTTTTCACATTCACTGCAAATACATCCATCTAAATAGTGAAAGTAAGGTGGTTTTTTTTCCCCTCAATAATATCCAAAGGGGTGTATTTACAGGACTGTGTCTTTATAGGTAGCTCTAAAAAGTCAGCCCTTTTCACTCTTTAAGATTTCAGAAATTGAGTAAACTACAAGACTCCTTCTGGCATTCTATTCAACAATTGCAGAAGAGTGAGTCTTGAACACACAGAGAACGCGGGTCAAAGAACAATTGTTAGAGATAAGCAACATGTTTTTCTTGAATATATATAAATTTACACCGTGGGTCACATCAAGCAATGTTCCATATCAACACCACTTTTCTGCTAACAAAAGACTCTGGGACCAACATGTCCAAGAGTCCTTGAGTCATTCAAGATCAAAGGACTATTATCCAAAGCATACACAGATTGTCAGGAAAATATGAAGGTGCTCTAGCAGCAGCTGTACAGGTATTAAGAACAAAGACATCCTACAGACAATTGATGTCATCTGAGCTAAGATTTAATGCGTTCCACCTGGAACAGCAATTACACCTCTGTACCACACAACTGAGTACACAAGACAATTATCACCCCTAGCCATCAAAGCCTGGTTTGTATGAACATATATATAAATTGGAAAGGAGATTTCTGGCAAGATCTTATTATCTGGTAAAAGGTCAAAGCATACTGAAGATACACTAACAACAGGGTCTACTGCAGTCTTGATGACCTTTCAAAGTTCAGAATTTTTGCATACACATTTATCCACATGCAGTAGCAATACGTTCGAAAGGAGTATCGCAGAGCAAAACCTGCTCTGAGACAGGCCTTTAATGAGGCAGTCATCGAGCTCAGGGGAAAAGCTATTCATTCTTTCTCAAGGTCATCAAGAAAGCATACAATATTTGTGAAACTATCGACAAAGCACCACTACCTTGTAGCATTCAGTACTAAAAGAGTCTTGACTCAAATACCGTTGATAAAACAAACTTATTGTCATGAAGTACAAGGCAAACTTGCAGGTTGCCTATGTGTACTGTTATTACATATTATTCCCAAGGCAAAGAATATTTATGTCCAAACACAAGTTTTTGCATGTCTGCATCTTTTGTCATCCTTTTCTTTGCTTTCTCTAATTTTGAAATGGCCCAATTATTCTACATGAAGGCTATCAGTAAGACCCTGTTGGCTCATATTGGTTTTGATATTACTATTTTTGCCTTACATATAATTTTACTTTTGTGTGTACTTTATCACTCATATATTACTTACAGCAAGGATACATAATAGTAACTGAAAGATACACTTTGATCTAGTGAAGGGAATCTAACCTCCTGTCTAGCTTGCAGTAAATGGGCAAACTCACTTCATTACTGATTTTTAGCAGCAATGAGCACAACATCATTTTCCCCTGTTAACATCATCACTGAAAGTTTAAACTGGCAATTAATTAACCACCTTCACCAACACTACTTTTCAAGCTTTTTTGAGGCTGTCCTCTATCTTTATGTTGATGGGTAATCTCAGTAGCAAAGACCTCATAAGCAAGAGGCCAAAGTTTATCGCCTCCAACAGCTCTGCTGAGAAAGCCAAATATAGTGAGTTCAAGTCTTGCCGCTCCTATATCTGAAAGAAAACAGAGTAATTATTTGTATTCTTTTAAATACAGCTGTTCTGGTTTCTATAATATTACAAAAGCAGCAAACAGAGTAATAATACATTCCACTAAGTCACCACAAATTTTCTTTAAGTGGTTTAACTTCTAACAACTGGAAGTTAATCTGAACGGTATGGAGACTACACTTTAGATGTCATTTTACAGCAACATTATTTCAAAGTTTTTGATTCAGAACTTCTCTCTAGATATTAAAGTGTTATGTCCTTAATGACCACAGTAAGACTAAATAACTAGACTTACAGGGGCCATTTGTCTGGTAATTTTTGATATAAAATTTTCATCTGTGAAAAGTCACTCTGCTGAAAATTCCAATATAAAAAGACAACTAAAACTATACATTGTAGCTGCAAATGTTTTCAAAGCTTTAAAGCCTAAATGAAATATGTGAAGAATGTAGACAATATTGGAAATAAGTGACCTGTAATTCTCTCTTCGCTATTTGAAGTTCTGGAATACCTGGGAATAAATAATTAATGCAATTATTGATTTTTTTAAGCTACAAAACCTCTGGGGTTTGTTCCGTTTATCTAAATCAAGTAGCTAAAAGACATCTATGTGGCCAACAACACTAGTATATGGATAAAGTAAAGCACTACAGAGGTAAAGGAGGCTACACAGAGCTAATGCCTAAATAGTATATTTACATATTCTAAGTAATATTATAAGTAGAGCTCAAGCCACTTGTAAACTTTTATGCCTAAAGACTTAACCACTTTGCCAATGATTAACTAGAAGAGGGTTTGCTCTCAGTTTGCAGACAGGACATTTATCTTCAAATTCATAAAGACTTGGCAAGTAATCATTCCCAGAAAAATGTTTTGCCAAGACAGCTATAAAATTTATGTTTTAATTCCTTGCCCTTAATCTTTGTTCAGCAAATACTAAGTGTGGGTGTGCTGGATGGAATTATACAGTGAGCTTTACAGAAACTTCTCTGCTTTTATTTATGTCACATAATAGCATGTTATTTTTCCCTTGCTAATACACAGCACAATTTCAAGAGCGAGTATTTTGTCTTTAGTAGGTGCCAGGCTTTCATTCCTAATACACAGTAAGTTATTCCAGATTTATGTTTGGATAACAACTGAAACTCCCCTCACTCCCATTTTAAACTAACTCCATGCCAAGTAAAAAATGCTGGAGAACAAAAGTTCCAGCCAGCAAGCACGCACAATAGGTTGATTCTATCTTCTAAATTTTGCCTACTATCCATCTTTTTCCTCATCTAACAGGATCAAAGGATTACAGTTATTTTCCCCATGCATATTTAATTTTCCAGTATATAAAAAAATTACTAGTAACTGGAATATTTCTGACATTTGATAATAATAAATTGACATTAAACAGTAAAAAAAAAATTGTCACAAACTTTGGCCATATTTTGATTCTGATTAAGAGATTAAAGCTTTTTCAGACTGTAATTTATTACTCATATTCTACACCTTCCTCTTCCCTTTGTTAAACCACTGACAGAAAAATGTTTAACTGCTTGGTACAGGAAGACAACAGCTGGAATACAGATGTGGGAAGTAAGACACAAAAACATTAGACTGTATGCAAAGTACCACAAACATTTTCATAAAGAATACATCTGCAAATAAAAGTGAAATTATTTTTGCTTTCATAAATCTAATGCATCATACTTCATTAATGTAATTGCAGGTCATAAATACATGGT